GGGTTTATCATGTCTCTGTGTGATTTATCATCTCTTTTATTTCATTAAAAAGAGCCTTTAGTTTTAATATCTCATGTCAGTTATCCAACTTAAGTGGTGGATAAATGATGATATGCGCGAAATAAACAAGCTCAAGGTATATATCTGTTTGAACTGTCCTGGCAGATTGTCATTTTTACCGTTGCACAATGTGTGGCAGATGAATATGTACAAGACAATGCATAAGCAAGATAATAAGGGGAAGTGGAGGAACATGACTTCCAATCCAAGGCAACCTCAATGGGGAGAAAGCTAGAGGTTACATTGTATGAAGTCTAGCCTTAATAGGAGGATCTCAAAATCTTACATATGAGTTTGTATTTTTATATTTGCTTGATGTAGGATGACTTACATATAAGCCACTTGCACCTTTATAACGCGGACTTGACATTTTCTCAGTTCCACAGTTGATTTGCACAAATCACTTTTAATCATTTCATGATCGATGTCCTTATTGCATAGCAAACTTAAAATAGTATCTTTTCCTTTTACATTCTTGCTAATCTGCTATGTTGATACTTGATAGTAGGAGCTGAATCTTTCATCATCTGCAGCTATTATCTATCCAATTGTTTCCAAAAAATTATTTTCACACTTGGCTAATGTTTTGTGTGCAGGTGCAAAGGATGGTTTTTACATTAAGTGCAGCCAGAGTGATCTGTGCAAGAATAGTGAAAGGCCTAATTTTATTTTCTAGAGAGTATCCTAATGGAAGAGTACATCACAATTGTTCCCTTCCTGGGGTATGTACCGCTATTAAAAAATATTTTCCTTTATTTTCTACATTGTCTCCTCTTAAGAAAATGTAGTTGTGTGATAGCTAATCAAGACTTTACATTTATCAAAACTCTTTATATTTTTACAATGTGCAGTCATTGCCACATGTCTTTATAAACTACGGAGTACTTCGGTGTTCAAGTTCATGGGTTGTAAGTCAGTATTTTAGTTATAGTTCATCAACAATTTATATGGAGTATATTTTTTAAGAGAGTTCTAAGACATATTCTCTTGAAGTGTATTATTTCTAACGTGTTAATAAAATGTTATTTGATTACAACTGTTTAGTTAAGTTCCCAGAATTTTTAAGGGCTTAGCTTATAGAGGTCATGATTGTTTAGTCCGTACTTGGTATAATTTTCATTGTTTGTTGAGTCACGCCAGTTTCGGGTACCCAGGCGGCCGTTCTCGAACCTGGACCCAAACCTATTTATTTAACTGGTCTCAAGATTAAAAAAAAATGGCGGGTCTAGGACCGAAATCGGGAACGGATTGCCCGGTTCAGTCCCAAATATCGGAGTCCGGGATTGGGCCTGCCGGTTACCTGGTCGGTACCCGGTCTTGAATGGAGATTGAAATTACGAATCCGGTTCGATCCCACACAATACCATACCCGATCTTGGAGTTGGACCAAGCCAGAATGGGCCCACCCATATTCTAATATAACATACTCCAATGAAGCATACATCTCGAAGTATACCTTGATATGCTTTGCGACAGTGTTCCATTTCACTTACCTTTTTTTTTAACTTTTTTAATACTCCGTAGGAAAAAATGATTTTAATTTAAGCATTTTTTTGTTTACTTTGACATTTGAATCAAGTGTTTGTAAATACTATAACAATTTGGTCATTCAATTATATGTGATGTGTGGAACTTATTTGACATTTTTTACAATGGCATCATCATATTGGATGTATATAATCGTTCATATATACGGAGTATCATTTTTGGTAGGTTTGTTGATTACACAGTCCTTAAACCCCAATAAAATCGCTAATTAAAATGGAACTAAAATTGCCCAGTAAAATTGCAAATCAAGACGACCATACAATCTCAATAATCCTAATAAAGAAAGAGCTAATAATTCTAACTTTGGGGTAATTACTCCTATTTAGAGAATACAAACTTATTGTTCATATATATTTTGGAATTTCAAAACATTTTACTCTAATTTAGGGTCATTTCTTAAATGATATGCATATGGTATTTATCTTAACTTCTTAACTCAGTGTATCGGTTACATGTATATATTTTAGAGCTACTTTTACTCTGAGGATAGATGAATTTAATTTGATCAATGATTACATGTTGTCTCACATAAATTCAGAGTTCAATTTCTTAAAAGTATTAAATGTTTCAATTTACTAAATCATGAGCTAAAAGTGAGGACGATTGTGATGCTTACGAGTTACGAGGAATATAGATATTTTATCTGGGTGCTTATGACAAGACAATAAAATTACAGTTCAATTACATTGAAAGTATTCTTATATCTACTTACTTTAACACCATGAGTGTTAGACTCACATTCACTTTTCAGCACATATAACTTCTATTAACGGTTAGACATTCATTAATAAGGACGGGAGAAAATTGTTCAAATAAGTTGGCATTTTCCTCTGCCTCCCGTTCTTATACATGGACATGTGTACATGGGTTGAAGTTTGTGATGTGTGATAATGTGGATTCTACGAGTACATATGTTTGCCTTGAATGTTAGATACAAGGAATATTATAATTATTTTTCTTAGTTTGCTATTTCAATGACATCTTATTTGAAATTTTATTTAATGCTTTCAGTCAGATGGATCATTTTTTTAAAATAATTTTAGAAAAAAATTCATTTAAATTAACGTATATGTACTTCACCCCGTGCAACGCACGGGTGGAGTAACTAGTATATACACTTAATACTCCCTCTGTCCCGCAATGAACTTCCCACTTTCCTTTTTTGGATGTCCCAGAAACAAGTTTCCATCTCCTTAAATGGCAAGTTAATCTACATCAAAACAGTGCAAAACAGTGCCAAACGGTGTTGAAACAGTGCAAAACAGTGCCAAAAAGTGTCGAAACGTTGTCAAAACAGTAAAATTTACCCAATTGTAAGTTTATTTCCTTAATATGTGTGTATGTCAAACTGTGAAATTCATTGTGGGACGGAGGGAGTATATAAGTAGATAAAATATATGTAAATATAAGTAGATAATAAGTGTATAATAAGTAGATAATAACTTAATAAGTATTTAAGTGGATAATAAGTAGATATAATAAGTACTCCCCCGTCCCGAAAAATTCTTCCTGGTTTGACTTAGATCGGAGTATAAGAAAGTAGGAATAAAATGGAAATGTATGATTGTGGTTGAGTAAGAAAAAGGTAAATAAATGGTACCCACACAAACCTTTCCAAAAAGGTAAATGGTAAGAATTTGTTGGAACATCCCAAAAAGGTAAGTGGGAAGAATTTATTGGGACAAAGATAGTAGATAATAAGTATATAAGTAGATACAATAATCGTATATCTAATTTAAATAGATACGATGTATATTGCCAAGTTTGACCGGCACGGGGATTAATAAAGTAAAAAATGTGTGATTGAGGTTTGTGCAGAGGAGAGAGAATTATTTGGAACCACAAATTCTTTATTTAAATGAGAAAGTGGCAAAGTTAGTGGGACATCCAAAAAAGGAAAGTTGGCAAAGTTTTAAAGGACAGAGGTAGTAAGAATTAGGCACCATAGAACATGAAGCCCAGGAACAGAGAGCCAAAGGAAGAAAATATCAGGATTCGTGAGAAGGAAGAAAGAAAAGGAAGAGAAGAAACCAAAAAGGAAAAGAAAAATCGGTGCCACATAGCCACATAGGTGTCCTAAATCAACGGTTACCTGTGGTAGTCAACATCAACCGGCCCAAAAGTACAAATGAGTGTTTAAGTTGGAACTTTGGAAGGTTTAATTGGATGATTTGATAGAACAAGAGAAAAGGGTCAGATAGGGTCTCGAACTTACAAAAAATGTCAAATAAGACCTTATATAGGAGGTTCTGTCCGATCGACGCCATTTGGAGCTGTTCCCGTAGAATTTTTCGATGAAATTTTGTGATCATCTTATTCATTAAGTCTAATTTACTCATACCAAATTTCAGATAAAACTTTAATCGGGAAGACATTGAAATAAATTCTTGAAGATAACTGCGCTTTTAACTGCGCACTTATCTTCAAGAATTTATTTGAATGCCTTCCCGATTGAAGTTTTAGTTGAAAATTGGTATGAGTAAAAAAGACTTAATGAATAAGATTCTCAAAAAGTTTCATTGAAAAATTCCACCAGGAACCGCCCCAAATGGCATCGAACGAACAGAACCTCCTATATAAAGCTTTATTTGACATTTTTTTGTAAGTTCGAGTCCCTATCTGACCCTTTTCCTGATAGAACTATGGTTGGACTCGGGTCGGGCCACCCGGCCCGCTACTGTGCGGGACCGAGACCGGTCCGGTTCTCGAGTCCGGGTCCGGGTCGGGCCTAGGCCCGGGGGGTAGGGCGGGTCCGGGCTCGGGTCTCAAATTTGGTGAACCGGCCCGGCCAGGTAAGGCCTGAGCCCGGGCCAAATTGAATTTTTTTTATTTTTTTTCATTTTTGGGGTTCCACCCGGGTTGGACTTGATGGGTAGGATGGGTTTGGGGGGTTTGGGAGGGGGGTTAGGAAAGCAAAAAAAAAATCCAAACCGGAGGCCCGGACCCGGACAGGACCCAGTGGCTACCCGGACGGTCCCGAGTCCACCATTCCTGAACCGCCGGCCCACCCAGACCTAGGTCTGACCCGGACCCAGCCCGGACCCGAGTCCACCCCTAGATAGAACAAGGACTCAATCCACTTTGTAGATATCGTATGGGTGACATTTTCCATTTTATTTTCTTCCACATTTCTTATATATTGCTTCCCTACCTCTAGCCTTTTCAGCATGATTGGGTAACGGGTACCAACTCTTTATAGCATTCATCAATCATTTCAAACAAATACGCTCTGGACGAGCAATATATGCACAATCACATTTCCACATACCTGTATGACAAAATGAACAAGCATAACTGGTTACGACTTGCAAGATACAGAATTCTAATGAAACATATAACTAAAACAAAGGATACTATGAATGCACATAAGTGCATATATAATATACACAATGCCGGCCATTCAATCCCATACAAAAGTCGTGAATGAGATCAAAGTCTTCAGTAGTTAATAAAAATGTATCTTTGGATAGTACACTTACACAATACAAAGTGGTGCTGAAAGGATAAGCAACAAGGGTGGACAATATACACTGAACATTAAATTAGATTCACGTAGTCGGTTTACATATAAACCTCTATCCCAATATACTTAGTGGACTGACACAGAGGACACGCGCCATTTTTACTTTCACATTCTTTACAGAGGCAGAGGTGCTTACACGGCAGTAGTAGCATGCAAACAGGGTGAACGCCACAAACCTTACAGGTCATCGTCGACTTCTTCATCTCATTGCTCTCCCTTCCGAGCAATTGAAAATCAATGGCAGGAGCATGACAGCAAGATGCTGTGTCATCCACCTCGCTGTCACCACAGCCTTCTTTACTGTCTTTGCTTTGTTGGGCATAAACCTGCTGTAAGTTAAAATTGAGCGCGTTAATGAGACTTTCATTATATTTGGCTCTCCGCTGCCAAGCATTGGCCTCCAATGCCAGCTGTTCCATTTGCATCTCGAGGTCCACATTCTTCTTATTTATGTTTTCAACCTCAGCCTCTTTTTCGCGTAGCTTTCGGATGACCTTTTCTTCAATGTAGGATATGGTATGCAGTTGATTTGCTTGAACTTTCTCAAGAATAGATTGCCTCAACTGATCACCCTTCCAAGAGAAAAATTGTGAAACAATGAGTAACAGAAGCACAATCAAGACTGATGTTTGATGAGTCAATAGGATGTGCTGTGGGCTGATTTATTAACAGAACCCATGTTTGATTTAGTACAGTTATTGGTCATGTATATGATAATATCTATGAGCTCACTAAACTTATGTGGAAAAAACATACTCCCTCCGTCCCATTGGACTTCGCCAATTTTCCTTTTTTGGTTGTCCCAAAAAACTTTGACATTTTCCTATTAAATCAACTAATTTGTGGTTCTGCACATTTCAATTTCTCTCTCCTATGCACAAATCTCAACCACATAGTTTTTACTATTCTTATTTCTCACCTACTTTGCACTTGTCAAAGTCCACCAGAACGGAGGTAGTAATTAAATTGCACAGTAATCCAGCATGAATGATGTTGGCAATTTCCTTGAATAGTTTAATTCAGTAACTCACTTTCAGTTAGATTCTACTTTATTACTACTGTCCCAAAGGATAGTACCTATTTACTATTCATAGGACAGCACAGTTTACTTTTGAGATCTAAATTTATGTATCAATTTTAATCATATTTCAATTCATTTATTGAGATAGAATAAAACCTTTAGTGTAGCTTCTAAATATATACATTTTTACTTTTTAATTGTAATTGCATTATTGTCAGGGAGAAGTTGACTTCGCATTACTGTAAATATGTTCCTTTTATAATTAGGAATCTTATAATATCTATATAAAAGGCCTCAATGTTATTATTCAATAAACTACTTTTGGAGAATCAATTCTTTTGTGTATTGCGTAGGTCAGGCACTGGTTCATTCCACCTTATGGCTAGTGTTCAAATTACCCCCGTTAGTAAAATGCAAAAATAAAATCATAGATTTGGAGCTCAAAATTGGGTCCTTCTTCCATTCTGAGATTTCCTTCTAGACCCTTAGACGAGATCTCTATACATATGCACCTTTTTTAATAAAATTATAAAGCTGGAAGTTTGGACTATAGTAGTATAGTACTACAGCTAGGGACCTTTACATTTAATACTTTTTAATCCCCAATGGAGAATTTGGGTGGATAAAGCCAAAGTGCATCTGTGCATGTTTGGACTTTGGATAAAGGTTTTTGGAAGGAATGGAGAGCTAAAATCTATATCTTGACACATAGAATGCTTATAAAAAAGAATACAAGTTAATTCAAATGTTATACCATAACATATTACATTGATCTTTCAACTTTAAAATATGAAAAACAATGAGTTATGGACTAAACTCTCCAGGCCCACCACAAGCTTCCCCTACAAACCTTTCCAAAATCCTCCATACAAAGAGACCATAAGAATAATAAAGTATTGTAGATTCTATGGATTTTAATGGAATTCTACAGATTCCATGAGATTCATATGGAATTCTATGGAATTCTATGGAATTCTACTCCTCATTGAACGTGGAACTGACAGCTCTTTTCTTCCGCTTTCTTCTCGAGTCGGATCCAATTCTCTCATCTAGTCATCGGATATACATTCATCGGTATGGAATTCTACTCCTCATTGATTTTTTACTGTTAATGAATGATGCTGGATTTTATTTTCGTAATTTCCATCTGAATAAAAGAAATCGTAGAGAATCTTGGAACTCTCTGTTTCTATCTATATTTATGGGGCTCATTTGGTATTTCAGACAGGCCCGGGCACCTGTTGTAGTTTAAATGGATCTATAAAGAGGTACTAGTTGGTCAAGAATATAGAATTGGGTGGGTGTTTAATGCAGATTAGCTTGATAAAGAAAGAAAATGATTGCCCTTTCATTCATTCAAAGAAATAAATAAGCGAAGCAGTATGTTTCAGAGAATTAACTTTAAAGCTAGAATGGGAGTGAATGTGAAGCAGAGAAACCGTGTGGAAATGCAGTGCCAGGGAAACAGACGGGTGAGAAGAGTTGAGAAGAGTCGTACGGACGGGTGGGTGGATTTCAAATCCGAGGGGTGAGGCAAAGAGAATTGGTGGAATTGGATTAGTGTTATTTTTCATACCGATTCCATTAAAATCAGCTGAAATCCATGGAGTAATTGAGGACACTCAGATTTTAAAGGAGTTTGAAAATCCAAGTAGAGGACACCCGGATTCTGATGGAATTCTAAATTCCTTTAAAATCCGTAAGAATCCATATTGGGGACACCCCCGAAGTTTCATAAAGAAATAATCATCCTTCCACATGGAGATGATGTCCTATGTGAAACGGTTGATCATTTAGTTTCTACTACCCACAGGAGTGCTGTACATTCCGAGTGTGGGTTCTGTAAATTTGGGGGAAATCAAATTGTGGCATCAATTAGGACATCATCTCATGTGAGAGAGGACTTGAGAACAGTCTTTTTGGAGTGAAATATCGAGTGAAGTAGGTTGGTTTAAATTTCAAAAGCAATAGTATAAAAAGTTTCCATGCATCGTGCACAAATTTGAGTGAAGTAGGATTGTTTGAATTTCAAAAGAGAAAATGCAAAATGTAGTTCAAGTGTGTATCCTAAATCCAAATGCATGGATTTATAACAGTTTATCATGAACTACAATCTGAATCGTCAAAATGTTGCCTAAGAAATATACGCCTGAAGAATTTGATATTGCGCTCCACAAGGTTCGAAATTGTGTATTGGGTAGTCGTGGCGTTTTTTTAAATATTGCATATTGCGTAAGCCTCATTGCGCAACAAGGCGTACGCAATGAGGTGTAATATATATATATATATAAACATAGCAAAAAATAAACATATTTGTCAAAAGTCATCAAATGTTATATTAAAACAAACCATAAGAGGTCATAGTCCTAGCAAAGTAATACTATCGTATGTTTAAACTTCAAAGTACCATAGAATACCAAAACTTTCTGAATCGTTTATAAAAAAAATCTAAGATATGAGAATTTAAATTAATTAGATTGATCGACTGAAAAAATCTAATCAATAACTAGTGGTTTGAAATAGGGATCATAACATCAATTATGAATATTTAAAAGCGGGCCGGGTGGACCCAAATAATACCCTAACACCCTGACCTTCTCCTATTGCGTACGCCTCAGAGCGCCTTATTGTGTGCGCCTCAATGCATTATTGCATACGCCTCAGTGCATTATTGCATACGGCACACCTCCCAACGCCATATGCAATGCCTTTTACGCCATAGTCTAGGGATTAGCTGAGGCGCGCCATGAGGCGCAATTGCATTGCGCAATTACAAGCAATGGCACTCCATAATGTTTTCATCTTAAAAAGAGGCAGATGAATTTACTAATGTAGTAAATAAAGCAATCTTAGAAAAGTACTAGATCTGTTAAAGAAAATAGCAAGTTTCTGCAATTTGTATTAAAAAGAAATAGACATTGTCTATGACAAGAATGGTGAATAACACAACTTAAGCATGGACAAATTGTTTCTCAAACAATGTACTCTATTTCTTTCACTTTCCAATTAGTAAATAAATACTGAATATGTTTCAAAAGAACACGAGCCAGAGTGCACACAATAAAGACAGAGGAAACAAACCAAGGCAACCATCATCCACATATGAAAAATCAGATGTCCACCAATGGAAATAGAGTAGGAACAGACCTGAACTTTGATGAACCTATCCATCTCAGCCTCCTGTCTCTGAAGCTCAAGTTCAATGTCATCTCCTGAAAACCCCAGAAAAGATGAATCACCAGATGATGCCATTCTCCCATTATCAAGGGACAAGCCAAGCCCAGTAGACACCGAAGGTGGCTGCAAGAACTCTATAGATGATATGGGGGAATTGTTCTCCAGAAAATCTTGCTCCTTGGGCCTCTTCTTGTTCGGCTCGATCCCATAATTCCACTGCAAATCGAGCCCACTTTCTTCCACCGCACCAGGTACTAACCCAGCCACTTGAACTGAGTCTCAAATTAAGCACAAAAAACAGATATATAAGAATTAAATCAAAGAAAAAAGACCAACAGAGAGAAACTAGGATAATCGAGATTGTTAGAATAGTACAAGGAGGAACATATGGAGGATGGTGAGACTGATCGGGAAGATTAGAGCCGTTAAAGTAGGCCACAGGCTGCGAAATCTGAGCATCCATGTTGTAAAAATCTCTGAAATATAAAAGTGAAAAAGAAATCGTCATCAGAAATAGTAAAGCTAGGGTTTTGAAAAAACTAAATGAAATTTTAAAACATTTGAAGGAACTGATTGTTTACCTGAAAGCTCGTGATTGTTGGAAGTGCTGCTGCTGTGGAAAAGCCATGGCCGTGGAAGGATGATCGACGGAGAGAAAGGGAGATTTGGAAGAGTCGAGCTGATCAATAATCTGGCCGTGCCGCCGTGGTAGGCGAGGATGAAGATTCCTCTTCTATTTGCATCTTCATGCTCCAAAGTTACATAAATTATACATTTGACGACAGATTTTGGGTTGGGCTCATTATCAATTGAACGCGATTGAAGGGTTCCTTTGCTTCGGACTTTCAGTTGTAACCCAATTTTTACTTTAATTGGGCTGGCTTGACTTGTTAAACAGTTCTCTTCTTTAGTTGGGCTGTATTGCAGTTGGCATACTTCCAAGTCAAAAATGCTTAGTGTACATCCAATGTATACGATTTGTACACCATATAAAAGGGTAAAATTAATTTTTTTACCCCTCTCTCCACCTCTCTCCCCCACGTGCGAACCCCTCTTCCCAAGCTCTTGTCTCACCATTTTCATCTCTCCCTAATCGGGCTAAATTTGCAAGTGTACAAGTGTCGATATACTAATAAATTCCGGTAAGATACCGGGTCGAATCCACAAGAAAACGTTGTTTAATTCAAATCCGGGAGTAGATAACTTTAAATGAAGAAATTAGTAAAGTGCGGGGATTTTGATTTGTGTTTGATATTTTTGGCTTTTCACTTTTTGTTTAAGAAGATAATTGTTAACTAATTTGTGAGTTTAAGATGAATACTAACAACAACTAAGGCTTCGGGGATCACTTAAATGCTTTAATATGGTTGAATATTAATTCTTTGCCAATAATTATGAATACGATGTTGCTAATATATTCTCAACTCCGGTTAAGGCAGCAAGAGCGTGGTTTTCGTTACGTGTAAGTCCCGTTACGGCTTACATTCATCTACCGAAAACCCCGTTGATTATTAAGACATTACACCCGTATCATATAAGACCGGATGTATTTCTATTCTCGGTACTATATATGTTTATCCTTTAATGTTCATAGTTTAGACTTCAACGTTAATTGCAAGTATAAACTAAATTTAACATACTTCTATGTTGTACACCATAGTCATAAATAATCAATATATAAAGGATAAATCACAATTTATTGGTTTAGAACTTTTATCAAACACCTAATGGGCATAGAAGTTCATCCCTTGCCTTAGCTAAGAATTTAGCTACTAATGCTCATATTAATTACAAAAGTGTAACTAAGAACAAGGAAATACAATAACAACAAAAATTACCTAGAACCAATTGTAGAGGAGAGAAATGGTTCATTCTCCAAAGAACTTGAAAAACAATTGCAAGAACAAAATATAAAAACTAAGAATTAATCTATGGAATGGGATGTATTTGCATGATGAATTGAGGGCTTTATATAGGCTAAAGAATGGCATCTTTTAGTCTATTCGAACCCAACAATCAGGTATGGAAGCAATATTTGATTAGCATTGAGGAAGATGAAGTTTTCCCATCAAAAATCCTCTTCCACGTTGCTGTGTTTTAGCAGAATCCGACCCAACCGGCGCCGGTTGTGGCCTGACCGGCGCCGGTCATAAGTATTTTTTTTTCGGAAAATTGAGATCCAACCGGCGCCGGTTATAAGAGGACCGACGCCGGTCGTTGCGCCCAAATATTTACTTCACTCTTCTACATGTTTTGATGTCCTCAATTGATCCAGAAGTGCCGATTTTCGATCCTTTTTTACCTTTGACCCCGTTTTTGTCGCTCCATGCCATATTCCACAGTTTTGCACACTTTGGAATATTTACCTGTTTTCGCTCTATATTTTTGTACAGATAAATATAATTACCTATGTAAAACATAAGTAATTATTGTGCTTATCAAATTCTCCCACACTTGAGCGTTGCTAGTCCTCGAGCAATGTCGTCAGTTTTGGATGCCTTGGTTAGTTCAACAAAAATATATGCACAAGAATATGTTCAATTTTAAGAGAGATAAAAAAAATGTATATAACCCTTTTATCATTCTCGGTCCAAAACCCTTTTTTCTATTACACACAAAAATATCATTAGATTTAGAAAAATTACTTATACTCTTGAATTGATGAGTGAATTGTGACTGGGGCTTTTTGGGCTGTGTAGAATGGTTTTCTTTTGGAAATGGATCAATTGGAATTTTTGAAAGAGACCATGAGCTATTTTTTTATATATATAACTCATTTGAATTGGTTCTCAACAAACTTTTACTGAAAGTCATTTTGATAGTCCCAAATTATTTGATGAGATATGGGGGTGGCTTGTACTCCAAAATGGTTCTTGAATATTTGAGATGAATTTTTGACCATTTTTGGAAATGAAAGAGGATGATGTTTCCTAGTCACAAGGTTTCTTTTTGGGAATGATTTTCAAGAGTAACAAGTAGTGTAATAAATCTAAAAAAAATGATAGTTTTGTGAGTAATAATAAAAAAAACTTTCTCAACCAAATACCCATTAAAAAGAGAGACATAATAATTTTTTACCTTCCTAAAAACAAAAATATTTTGCACAAAAAAATTTGTTTAACCACCCTGAGATGCACCCCCACACTTAAGATACAGTGTCCCAATGTATGATACATAATAAACAAACACTTCCAACAACATCCACGATTAAGTGTGTTTGGAGAAGAGTAAAGTTATGAAATATCAGCAAAGGGGTACTTAATGATGTGGATCGGGAGGGGGTACCCATATTGGTTGTAGTAGTGTTAAGTGAAGTCCCCAAACCTTTGATCATACCCCTGGAATTGCTCCTCCATCCGCGCTTGGCGAGTCTCAAAAGAGTCAAAACGGGTGTAAAGCTCCTCTTGCCGAGTCTCATAGGCATCCATTCTTGTGTGCATGCGATCCATGGAGTTGATGAGATAGTCGAGGCTTTGCGTCATGGTCCGTCGTGGCCAGGCTGTCGGTTGTGGTTGGACGTCACCCATTTCTTCATTTCCACTCTCCTGCTCCTCATCATCCCCTTCTTCTCTTCGGACCCATGTGTTTCCCACCTTTTTGTAGTGGAGAGAGACCATAGTGCTTGCATTTAGTACTTGGGATCCGGTTGTGTACTCCACCTCTTCATTTTCAAGGTCAACTCCGAAACTCCTGAAGATCATAGTAAGTAAAAGATGGTAAATAAAATTTTTGTCACCTCTTTTGGTCTTGACTACGCTCCTCATGTCCATCATGATGAGAGGGGCCAAAGGGACGCCTTGAATATGCCCGAGCCCGGTGACCATCTTGTGCAAAAGGTAGAGGTCTACCCGCTGAACGAGGTGTGAGTCACTAGCTCGTGGCAAGATGTTGGAGCTAAGAAGGTACACGATTAGTCTTTCCCGAACATTGAGGGCTTTGGCCTTAAGCTCTTCATTGAGGCCGAATAGTTGCATTGCCCTTATTTCATCATAGTCGAGGTCGCTTAGCACCACTTGAGAGTTCATGGAAAAGGGAGTACCTACGTCGACGATGTTGAGTAGGTTGCACAACCGGCGTTTGCTCACCGTGATCGTTGTACCTTTGACGGTGCTCACAATGTCGCCATAGGGGTCATTCTTCCTTTCGATGTTTGCGTAGAATTCCCGCACGAGCCGCGGGTAATATGCTCCGGTCAGAGTGAGCATGATAGCCCACCCTAGCATATCAAATGCTTCGGAGATCCGGTAGAGTTCGTTGAGCTGGGGGTCCACAGTCTTTTCAATAACAATCTTCCAGTTCTTTCTCTTCTCGTACCACGCTTCGTTCTCCGGGGAGGTGAAATGGGGGACGGAAGAAGAAGAAGAACTAGCACCTTTTGCTCGTTTGGGTGCCATGGACCTGCAAAATTAGTTCAACACATACGCAATACGACATATATTCATCAACTCAAGGTAATTTAGGTTTAAAATCCATAAATTTATCAATTTCCCCAAATTTCATGTTCATAAACAAATTTCTTGCAATAATTATGTTTAGAAGACTATATACCAACGATAAATCATCTCAATATCCTTCTAAAAATGAATTATATAGAGCAATTCATCAATGAGCAAGAAATTCGAAATTAGGGTTCTTAGAAAAAAAAAATCAAGAACTTCCCCTAATTTTGAACTTTAATCTCAAACTTTTGACAATAATCATGTTTACATACGTCATATGAGCATAAAGAATCAATATTCATCAGTTATAAACATCTATTTTGCCAAAAAATGAAAGAAAGAAAATATTTCCAGAATTAGAGAAAATTGGGATTAAAGCCAAAATACCTTGAGTTGATGATTTCTTCTTGATATGGAACGTAGAAGGGGGTCGTGTGATGTTGTGTAGGCCTTGGGGGAGTGTTTTTCGGTGTTAGGAAGCGGATTTTGGGTGCTTGGGGTGTTTTCCGGCGTTAAGCTCTCAAGAATTTGGGGGAGGGGTTCGAAAATAAGGTCTGGTGCGTGACTTGGGGACTGTTTTAACCGGTCCGACCGGCGCCGGTTGGAGTGTGTCCGGCGCCGGTTACGCGTGAACGCAACACCCTAAACTCTCTGGAAACGTACGGCATCGGTTAATAGGACCGACCAGCGCCGGTTGCTGGGAAATTTGATTTTTTTTTGTTTCAATTATAAATAAATGTGAATGTTTATAAACAGATTTATTTATAATTGATTTTTGTTCAATTTATAAATAAAAATGAATATGTATGACCAAACATACTTATTTATAATTGATTTTTGTTGTTGGGTTGCCTCCCAATTAGCGCTCAGTTTAACGTCATAGGCCGGACGCAACGTACCTCTATTCTTCCCATTGACATGCAGTGGTTGCCGGAGTGATATGGTACTCCGTGTTTGGCTTGAGTCGGTGACCATTTACAAGAAATGGTGTTTGGTCACCGTGTTGAATCATCATGACCCGTATGGCCGGACCTCGGTGATTGTGAAAGGTCCCGACCATCGGGATTTGAGTTTTCCGGGGAATAGGCGAAGTCTTGAGTTGAAGAGTAGTACCTTTTGTCCAACGTAGAAGTCCCTCCTGTTGATGTTCTTGTCATGCCAAGCTTTGGCCTTTTCTTTATAGATGCGGGAGTTCTCATATGTGTCCCTTCGAAGCTCTTCTAGCTCGTTGATTTGAAGCATCCTCTTTTCTCTCCCAAGTGTGTTGTCAAGATTTAATTGGGAAATAGCCCAACGAGATTTGTGTTCAAGCTCCACAGGGAGGTGACATG